TTGCCTGAGGCATGCGCCAAACCACGTTGGCGAATAAGCTCAAGAGTTTTTGAGGACAGGTGTTTTTTTGTGGCTATCTCTCTCTTGGCGTTCCTCGCACAATCATGGAGGTGCTGAACCAGTCAATCATATTCCTTGTTAATATTAATTAATATTATCAGTGCCACCCTCGAGAACATCATGCAATGACTGGAATGGGAAGGAATGGGAGTGAAGATAGATGGTCGGCAACTACACCACCTCCGCTTTGCTGATGACATTGTTTTAATAACACCAAACATCAGCCAAGCGGCACAAATGCTGGCCGACTTTGACCGTGAGTGTGGAAAGGTAGGACTACAGTTGAATATTACGAAGACAATGTTTATGAGAAACAGCCTCGTTCCTGATGCCCCATTCGCTCTCAATGGAACGACCATCTCCGAATGCAACAGCTATGTGTACCTAGGTCGAGAAGTCAACAGGACAAATGACCTGGCAACCGAGCTGCGCAGGAGGAAGAGAGCGGCTTGGAACGCCTTCAAGAACCTCAAAGAAATAGCTAAGAGGACGAAGAACCTCCGGCTCCAGGCACATCTCTTTGATTCCACTGTTCTTCCTGCATTAACATATGCCTTAGAGACCTGGGCCCTATGTAAACAGGATGAGAATGCTATTCGGGTCTCCCAAAGAGGAATTGAAAGAGCTATGCTTGGAATATCACATTTCACTCAAATGAGAGAAAGAATCCGGAGTTCTGACATCCATTGACGATCAAGAATCAGGGACGCTGTCTCATTTGCCAAGGTGTCGAAAATCAGATGGGCTGGTCACGTAATGAGATTTAAAGATGACTACTGGACTAGAGCTGTTACTGACTGGATCCCACGGGATGTCAAAAGAACGCATGGCCGCCCACCTACCAGATGGTCAGACTTCTTCATCAAGATCATGAACGATCGGTTTGAGGCTCTTCATGTTCCCAGAGCGAACAGATGCCATTGGGCTACACTGGCACGCAACAGGGACGAATGGAGACGTTACTGGCGCCCGCTCGAGCAAATCGACGACTAACGGGAAGTTAAGTGATTAAGTGATTAAGTGATTTGTGTGCTCTTAGGTCTTATGTAAACTGTTCTACATAACACATTCCCCTCCAATTTTGTTAGAAATATCTTTTCTGTCAGACTATAACTCATAAAAATACTTGAGTTTTTCATAATGAATGACAGTCTATAACAGGCACTCAATAAACGGAAGTTGATATGCACTTTATAATGCATATATAGCTTCAGGTTTTTATGTATTTAATATACATTATTGGGAGGCTAAAGAGAATACAGACATACTGTATTAAAACAGACATAATGCTTATATATTAAAGTTTTTTTAACTTTTAAATTCATGTGTTTGCATGTGTGTTTGTGTAGGTCTGGGCTTCCTGGAGACTGAGCACAGGTCTCCTACATGCAAAGCATAAGCCTTACCACTGATCCATATTCCTGGCCCTTTATATCTATTTTTAAATGGTTTTTTATGGTTTTAGGGTCACAGCTGGTCATGCTCAGAGCTTACTCTTTGTTCTCCTTAAGAGTCACTCCTCTTGAGGTTCAGGGAACCAAACAGGGGACTGGAATCAAACCCAGGTCGGTCACAAGCAAGGCAAGAGCCCTACCCACTGCACTATCTTTCTGACCCTTAAATCTTTTAAAAATAAACCAATAGCTTTAGAGGACAGTAATTCTAAGACCAATCATGCTATTCAGGCTTAACAATTTCCTAAGATTTTCTATTTCAGACAATGTTAAAAATACTTTCTTAACTGTTTAGTTCAGATTAATATTAATAAAAGATGATTTGACTGTGCAGATTAAATATTCATGAAAGGTTTCTCCAAATAGTTTTTTTTTCAGAGTTGATTAATTCTCATCAATGGCCAAGACCCAGAGACTATAAAACCCAGCATTTGTGGCAGTGCGACATCTTATTATCTATTATCTAGTTCTTACTCTGGTGAACCTGACAGGCTACTGAAAGCATGCTGCCCATATGGCAGAGTCTGGCAAACTCCCCCTGGCGTATTCAATATGCCCAAAACCAGTAACAATGATGGGTCTCATTCTCCTAACCCTGAAAAGGCCTCGAATGTGGCACTTTCTAAAATCTCAGGGCTAGGATGAAAGAGACGTTACGGGTGCCTGCTCGAGGAAATCGATGAACAACAGGATGACAGTGATACACTGATACAGTCAGTGATTAATTCAGAATAAACACCTACCTAGTTTAAGATGATTTCTTCTTCTTTTTTTTTTTTGCAGGGGTGGGATTTTACATTCAAAGTGCTCAGGAGACCATACAGGGTGCCAGAGATTAAAGCTGGGTCAGCCACAAGTCAATATCCCTACAGCCCCTCAGCTGATTACTTTTAAAGCAGAAGTCAGTGCAGTTTTAAATATAATCAGAATACTAAAAATAGCATGGCATGTTCTGCAGCAAAGCTTATGTATTATAATTAATGAAAATAAACAAGCTTTTGAAGAAATTCTAAAAATGAAGCTATCAATATGACTTCAATACACACACACATATAGTGGGCATGTCAACAAGTCAGAAATGATTAAGCCTTAATTTATTTAATCAGACTGAGAGTCATGCCAGAAACATCTCAACTTCATAACCAGAAGTTGTTTCATGTTAGAATATTTGACTCTAAGAAAGTAAAAGTACTAAGTACTAACCATGCCCGACCCTGCTTAGCTTCCGAGATCAGACGATAGCACAGCAGTAGGGCGTTCGCCTTACAAGCGGCCAACATGGCCGACCCGAGTTCGATTCCTCCGCCCCTCTCGGAGAGCCCGGCAAGCTACCGAGAGTATTCGATATGCCAAACACGGTAACAACAAAGTCTCCAATGGAGACGTTACTGGGCTCGCTCGAGCAAATTGACGATCAATGGGAGGGCCTTTACCTTTACCTTTAAGAAAGTAAAAGTAGCATATAAATATGTAGATGAAAAGAACATGCCTTCAGGCTTTGCCAAACCTGAGTTAAAATTTGACTTTACTACCTCTTAGTTTTGTAATCTGAGAAAGTCTATCCTAAATAACCCCTCAGTACCCTCAGAAGGTTGTAATGATTATATAGGACACATTGATATGTAAAATGGACAGTAAGTATAAAATGTCTAACGTGATATATCACACAACTGTTAAAAATATAGTTAGGGGGTTAGAGAGGTGGCACAGGAGGTAGGTACTTGTACAGCATGTGGCTGACCCCAGTTCAATGCTTGGTGTCACATTTGGTCACCTGAGAACCACCAGGGTTCTTCCTGAGAAAAGTCAGGAATAGTCTAGGAGTACCACTAGGTGTGGACCCAAACCAAATTAAATAGAATAAAATTATCGTTAGATCTCTTTCTTCTTCCATTTCGACATTTTATTTTTCTTTTAACTCTGAAAGAAAAGCATGCCCAAATCCTTGTGATCGATTGCTAAGCATTTTAAAAGGTACAAGCTACTTGTGGAAATCTTACAGAAGAGATACATTCTTATTTAATTTAAAGATATTTTGCAAAGAAAAATACTTTTGTTCTTGCATGGTCTTTTGAACCCTTCTTAAGACTAAATTTCTAGAATGTCCCATACAAAGAAGTAAAAAAAGAATAAATATCACTACTCCGAGAGATTTTGCAAATTAAAGTTGTGATTCTGGATCAATGTAGTATAGTTAACACTAGACCTAGATATTTCTTTCAAAGATGAAATTATATACAAAAGACATATAATGCCGAGCTTTAGACATGAAAAACTTATTATTTGCAAAGATGCAGTTCTCTGCATCCTGTCACAAAAGATGAATGTCCTTCCTAAAATAAAGTTCCCACGGAAACATTTGAAAATAGAGAATATGACTTAAAAATATCCTTCAAGGGTATAAATTGTGTTAAAAGGACTATGTCTCATTTTATGAGCAAGTACTTTTCATCTGAAAAAATTAGCAACTTATATTCAGAATAGTTCTTTGTTTCGTTTTGTTTTCTTAAGCTAGGCATATAGTATGTTTTCTTACATGATTAATTTAAATTTATGGTTTCTGATGTTGAAGTCTGTATTTGATTGTGCCTCTTTTCATAGGAGAAGGGGGTATGATCTTCCTGATTATACTATATTTGTTTCTACAAAACAAATATTCTTTATTTGTTTCCACGAAATCCCTATGATTTCTATTAGAGTATCTTTCACAAGTACATATATTTTATTCTTTTTTTACTTACCTTTTTTTTAAAGTTGAAGGTGTCTGGGATCAAACCCATAGCTTTAGACTTACAGGCAAGCTCTCTACTGCCAAGCTACATCCCTAGCCCCAAAGATCATATAGTTAGTGATATTTCAAAAAAATTCAAGATTTGGACTGGCATTTGCTGTTAATAAAATATCCCACTTAATAAGAAATAAAGAAAAGAAAATTTTCAGTGCCCAAAGACCTTTGTTCTCCATTATTAAAAGGTAAAAAACAGTGATAAAATGATCTTTATCAATTGAACTTCTCTATGAGGAAATTAACATTTGAAATAAGCCGTTTCAAATGAATACATTCATTATATGTGTAACAAGCATAAATTTTAATCTTCACAAAGGTAGCGAATCATTATACCCAAAAAAGAACAGAAAATTTCACTGTAAGTACAGTTAATTAGAAATCATCTCAATATTTCTAGCATAAGTCAAGCATAGGATGTGAGGCTGGATGTGACTTTAGAGATTGATTATCTAGTTTTTCATTGGATTGGGCCATATATTAAGTCCAGAGAGCTGAGGGGACATAGGGTCACACAGTGGGAGAGTCAGGAAAAATGTAGGTTTACTGATACATATCTGGTAATGCTACAGATTTTTACAAATGCTCTTTTACAAATAAACTATAAAGCCTGTAGCGGTTTTATGGAGATTTTTCAAACTGTGGGAACTGTTGCTTTGAGTTGTTATAGACCCTGGGCCCCTTCTCCATGGGAAACTTACCTTCAGTATTGGAAATGGGGGTACTGTCACATTTGCTTTCACACTGTTGCATCGACGGAGGCCGAACAGTTTCGGGACAGTCACTAGACGCCTGTCCAGTGTAGGAAAGACATTGCACAGTTCGCATTTGCTGCCCAAGGCCACATTGAGCAGAACACTAAATGCCAAAACACAAAACAAAATAGTGATTTTGGGGAGGTAAAAATAAATGATGTCATTAAAAAGTTTATTTATATGTATGTGTGTGTGTATATATATATATATATTCATACAAATCAGTCTGACATATGTCTATCTCTGTTATATATCTACTTATCAACTTTTAAAAAATAATGTAGGAATACTGCTATTTGTTTGGCCATTGATTAAGCTGGTTGAATTGGGCATGAACACCACCTTATCAACATTTGAGGCTAATGTGGTTCATCTAGGAGGAGTGTCTGATTAGGTCATTCTAATATAGATAGAATGGTTTGGAAACTCAAGGATCATGTTACTACCCTAGAAAATAAAAGCTAGGAGACCCTAGCCCAAAATAGATGATCTGAGATTATTATTCCAACAGTTTCAAGTGGGGGTTGTAAGCTCTACCAGGAGTATGATGAAGTAGAATAATCGGGACAAGGATATATCTGATATACAGACAAGCTTGTAGAGCAACAAGCTGATAGCCCATTGAAGTGTTCTATGGCTGATGAAAATAATAAAAGGTAAAAGGTAAAGGCCCTCCCGTTGATCGTCGATTTGCTCGAGCGGGCCCAGTAACGTCTCCATTGGAGACTTTGTTGTTACTGTGTCTGGCATATCGAATACTCTCGGTAGCTTGCCAGGCTCTCCGAGAGGGGCGGAGGAATCGAACTCGGGTCGGCCATGTTGGCCGCTTGTAAGGCGAACGCCCTACCCGCTGTGCTATCGCTCCAGCCCAATTCAAGATAATAGCAATAATTTCTGTGGGTTTAGTGATGAGGTTTTGTTTGTTTTGTTTTAAAAACAAAATACCTATTTTGCTTAAATAAGTACCTCGAGTTTCTAGGGGATTGTTAGTCACACAAACCAGAGTGACTCCCTCTCCTTTTTGATCTGCTGGGGATTCAGTAACTACAGAATTAGTTATTCTCAGTGGCTTAGTTTAGCTGGGGCTGATCAGTTGCTCAGGGAGAGGAATAAAACTGCACCTATTTTTAGAGCTACACCTAGATACCAGAAGGTGTGTGAGATTTGGGATGAAAGTGAAAAGGAGATATCTGAAGTCAAGAAAGGCAATGGTGATATTTACAAGGTAAACAAACTGGAGCTCTGTTGAATTTCTTTATAAAAACTCACAAAGCACTTGGAGAACATGTGTGGATGTCCATTTTAAAATTTCATAATAAAGGCTGACAGATAAATGTACCATTAAAATGTATTAAAGCAACTTTGGGAAGGAAAAGGTATTTTTACTGGTGAGTTTTGTTTTATTTTCTGTTTGTTTGGGGGCCATACCCAGCTGTTTTCAGGGCTTACTCCTAGATCTTGCTCAGAAGATCATAGGTAAGTACAGGGATGGAACCTGAGCTGTTTTCAAGCAAGGCAAGAGCTTTGTAGACTGTGCTACCTCTCTAGCCTCTCTTCACTGGCTAGTTTTAATATTAGGAAGCTAATCAGAATTTTATTAGGGGATAATATACCTTGACAACATTTCGAAGACTCTTAACTGTTACTTGGTGAAATCACTAGCATGCAAAATCTCTCAAGCAATCTTTATCTATCTAAAAGAAAACAGTAACAAAGAGTAAAAAAGAGATGCCTACCTGGTTTAAATAAAAATTATGACCTTCTCTAGCATGACACCAATTCTGTGTTGTGAAATGGTCACAGTCCTACAGTGAAATAGCTGCATAAAATGCTTAACCTAATCATCTGTATTGCACTTAAATACTTCATAAACATAATGCTGTTATACAATTTGTTATTTTTTTTTCTTTTTGGGTCACACCCAGTGATGCTTAGGGGTTACTCCTGGCTCCGCACTCAGAAATTACTCTTGGCAGTAATCAGGGGACCATATGGGATGCTGGGAATCAAACCCGGGTTGGCCAAGTGTAACGCAAACACCCTACCCGCTGTGCTAATGCTCCAGCCCCTTTATTATTTCTTATACAAGTCAAATGCTAATTATTTTCTGCTTCTACTTCTTTTGCTGGGGCTGAATGCAGAGCAATATAAATATACTTACAAATATAAATATTTGCTTTCTGGAAACTTAAATAATCATTGCACTCTCAACTATAACAAAAGAGGTGTATAAAAACTGCTAAACTATAGCAATCTTAACTTTTGACCAACACTTTAGCAAGTACTTCTCTGAAATGCCATTTTAAATAAGGAATGACAGGTCAACTGCTGATGTAGTTATATTTTATTTATTTGGATCTCAGATATTTTCAGTGAACTCGCTACAAGGTTAATTATAAAACCACAGAAAGGGCCTTTAATTATAGAAATGTACTTTCTGCAGGATTTTAAAATGCCCCTTATAATGATCAAAAGAAAAATACCTAATTTTTCTTTATTCAAATATACCAATTGTTTTTAAGGGTTTAAGGTTGCCTTCAGCACATAATACAATTTAAAAGTAAGAAAACTGGAAAGACAAATTGGAATAAAAATGAAATGAGTGTCACATAGAAATACATAAATAAAAAGCCCTAAACTATTGCATCTTACCACATTACATACATGAAACTAACCCATTGAAAAATAAGTCTGAATAAATCTTTCAGAGACTGGCAGTCCCATTATCAAGGTAGTTACAGTTCCCACATCTTTTCTCTCAGATTGAGGTGTTATTTGACAAAGGAAATTAAGACATTAGTGTGACTGATCTGTCTTTTAGTTAGTTAAGAGAATTGGAACTAAAATTCAAAATTTTGGTTATTTGCTCAAATCTCTGGCCACCTAGACAATTTGTCTTTAATTTCAATGAAAATACTAGGATTCAAGAAATCAGGATGTGGGAAGAATACAGGTGTGGGAGAGACAAATGTGTCTGTGCGGCCACAGACACACTCTGTGCTTTGCTCCACACACAGAAATCATATCTAAACACATCTCTTGAGCCCTGACAATAGCCACTCAGGAATCTCTAATGTCTCAAGGTGCTGCTTCAGCTGGAACCCATGGTGCAACAGGCTTACCTGGCCCCAGTCTCCAGTGACCCAACGTGGAGGAGGGCAGCGGCCCAGACTACAGCGCATGCGGACAGGGGGTTTGCTCTCCTCTGGACACTGAGCAGCTGGGAATGTTTTAGAGAGGTCACTGCTCTTGCACAGAACAATTCGATGCTTGAATCCTGGACCACACTTGGGAGTGCACTGGAAGTAAAATAAATACTAATAAATAAAAAAGGTCTAAAGAGAGGGGGAAAATTCAAGAAGTCTTTTTTAAAGTGTGTATTTGGGTCTATACTCTGCATAGACACTACATTCTAGGCTGTTTCACAGATAGAAACATTTCTTAAGGTTTTTTTGAGCAGAAGTACTTTTATCTTTTTTTCCATAAGGTCTTAAGAGCTAAGTCCAATGTTTGCTTTTCTTGGCTAACATATTTTCTTTCTTTCTTTTTTTCTTTTAATTGTTATGAGGTTTATTCCTCTAACCCCTCCCCCCCCCCACATCCTTGACCACATACAGCTGTGATAAAATTCAGTTAATCGTTGGAATGTGGAATCCTTGGTTTCTTCTTTCCTGGGTGTAGGGTGTAGTCTTCTAAAAAAGATTTTTATGTTAGTAGACCACAAGGCTTGTCTTTGTGAGAGGAGAAGTTAATTAGATTAGATATTCTTATAGAATTAAGAATTATAGAATTAACAGAACTGGCAGAGGAACCCAGGTGTGTAGGACCCGGGGCTGAGATCTCCAAGCCTGCACGGTTTGGGACTGGACCTGTCAGTAGCTAGACAGTTACACCCTCCAACTGCCGTGTAACCCCAACAACGGCCAGGATCCAGAGATTATCACAACAAGCTCCCGGGAGAGCACAAGGCAGAGTCTCCTACCCTGTGTCTGACTATCCTCGCCAGGGCCCAACAGCTGAAGATCTCCAGGCCCCAGCCAAGGCCTTACTGGGGCCACTCTCCACACACTTGGTTAAGCCTCAGACATAACAGAACTGGCAGAGGAACCCAGGTGTGTGGGACCCGGGGCTGAGATCTCCAAGCCTGCACGGTTTGGGACTGGACCTGTCAGTAGCTGGACAGTTACACCCTCCAACTGCCGTGTAACCCCAACAATGGCCAAGATCCAGAGATTATCACAACAAGCTCCCGGGAGAGCACAAGGCAGTCTCCTACCCTGTGTCTGACTATCCTCGCCAGGGCCCAACAGCTGAAGACCTCCAGGCCCCAACCAAGGCCTTACTGGGGCCACTCTCCACACACTTGGATAAGCCTCAGACATAACAGAACTGGCAGAGGAACCCAGGTGTGTGGGACCCGGGGCTGAGATCTCCAAGCCTGCACGGTTTGGGACTAGACCTGTCAGTAGCTGGACAGTTACACCCTCCAACTGCCGTGTAACCCCAACAATGGCCAGGATCCAGAGATTATCACAACAAGGTCCCAGGAGCGCGTGGCCGCATTCGCGGCCGCGCGACTATTTATTTACTTTTCTCTAAGTTTTCAGGGTACCTTAAATATCCAACCCGCACGGCAGAGCCTGGCAAGCTATCCGTGGTCTATGCCAAATAGACCAAATTGATATGCCAAATCCAGTAATAAATGTATCTCATTTCCCTAACCCTGAATATGCAGAGTCGAGAAGGATATGGAAGGAGAGGCTGATAAAACACCAAGGCAGACATAGGCTGCCAAAACGCAGAAAAACAAAAATGATTGTCTGTACTTTTAATGCTCGTATGCTGGCATCTGCTGCATCCATTGAAGACCTTATGGTACAAGCACGAAAGATCAAGTACGACATCATTGGTCTGACCGAAACGAGAAGACATCAATCCCATCATGCTGTTTTTGACACTGGAGAAGAACTGTTCCTTGGAACATGTGATAAAAGAGGCATCGGTGGTGTCGGTATCCTTGTCAACACAAACTTAGTAACGAGCATTGATTCATTTGAATGCCTAACAACCCGAATCGGACGATTACACTTGAATAAATGTGGCGCACTACCGGCAGTTTCTATTTTTGTTGTCTATGCACCAACATCCAGTTATGGTGAAAGAGAAACTGAGAAATTCTACATGGAGCTGGAGAAGTTCTATAAAGAAGATCACACCTTCTACAAGATCATTGTCGGTGATTTTAATGCCAAGATAGGACCAAGAAGATCAGTTGATGAACTCCACATCAGAACCCATGGCCTGGAATGGAACGAACATGGTGACAGACTGTCTGAGTTCATCATGTCAACCAAAACCTTCCATGGTAACTCACAATTCCAAAAGGCTGAATCTACATGTTGGACATGGGAGTCTCCCGATGGACGGTTCCACAATGAAATAGACCACATCATATTCAATTGGCGGTTTTGCCTAACCGATGTTGCTGTTGTCCCAAAATTCCAAACGAGATCAGACCACCGTCTTCTTCGTGCAAAATTCTACCTCACAGAACAAGGAGAAAAGAATGCAAGGTTTAAGAAGAGGACTCCCAGAACAACCACCAACTGGGAGCTCTTTGGCTCTATTGCGGCAACATGAGAAGACGCCGTCATTGACAACATTGATGAGGAATACGATCGAATGATTCAGCACCTCCATGACTGTGCAAGGAATGCCAAGAGAGAGATAACCACAAAAAACCATCTTTCTTCAAACACTCTTGAACTTATTCACCAACGTGGCTTGGCACGTGCCTCAGGCAACCACAAGCGAACATCCGAACTGGCAAAACAGTGCAGAGAAGCCATCAAGGATTACCTCAAAAACAGGAGAGCAGCAGTACTGGTAGATGCAGCAGAAGCTGGGAAAAACATTCGTAATGCCCGCCTGTCCTTCACCAACTACAAAACCAAGATGACTGCCCTCCGACATCATGATGGATCTATCACATCTTCCAGAAGGGCAATGGAGAAGATTATTCATGACTTCTACTCAGATCTCTTTAATAGCCACATCCACTTGCCCACATACCACATACCACATGATGGATATGTCGTTCCCAATGTTCTCCCTTCCGAAATCCAACATGCCATCTCGTCGGTAAAGAAACAAAGAGCACCTGGCCCAGACAAGATCAGACCTGAACACCTGAAGAACTTACCATCAGTACTCATCAATACATTGGCTCGACTCTTCACACGCTACCTGTCTGAATGCAAGGTTCCATCCCAATGGAAAACCAGCAGGACTGTACTACTATACAAGAAAGGAGACATCCACGACATTGGCAACTATCGCCCAATCTGCCTATTGTCTGTCATCTACAAACTATTCACTCGAGTCATCCTGAATAGGATTAGCAGAACACTAGATGAAGGACAACCATGTGAACAAGCTGGATTCCGAAAAGGATTCCGTACCATCGACCATATCCACACAATAACCAAGCTCATTGAGGTATCTCGGAAGTTCAAGATGCCACTCTGTCTAACGTTCATTGATTTAAAGAAGGCCTTTGATTCTGTTGAGACGGAAGCGGTCATGGAAGCCCTAGCCAATCAGGGCGTACAAACTCAATACATCAGGATCCTTCGTGAGCTCTATTGCGGATTTACTACCAAGATCTCACCATTCTACAAAGAAGTAATCATCCATATCAAGAGAGGGGTTCGGCAGGGTGATACCATTTCACCAAAACTCTTCAGTGCCACCCTTGAGAACATCATGCGACGGCTGGAATGGGAAAACATGGGAGTGAAGATAGATGGTCGGCAACTACACCACCTCCGCTTTGCTGATGACATCGTTCTAATAACACCAAACATCAGCCAAGCGGCACAAATGCTGAACGACTTTGACCGTGAATGTGGAAAGGTCGGACTACAGCTGAATCTTACGAAGACAATGTTTATGAGAAACAGCCTGTTCCTGACGCTCCATTTGCTCTCAATGGAACCACCATCTCCGAATGCAACAGTTATATATACCTAGGTCGAGAAATCAACATGATGAATGACCTGGCACCTAAGTTGCGCAGGAGGAAGAGAGTGGCTTGGAATGCCTTCAAGAGCATTGAAGAAATAACTAAAAAGACAAAGAACCTCCAGCTACGAGCACATCTCTTTGATTCCACTATTCTTCCTGCATTAACATATGCCTCAGAGACCTGGACCCTACGAAAACAGGATGAGAACGCTATTCGGGTCTCTCAAAGAGGAATCGAAAGAACTATGCTTGGAATATCACAATTCACTCAAATGAGAGATAGAATCCGGAGTTCTGATCTTCGTCAACGCTCAAGAATCAGGGACACTGTCTCATTTGCCAAGACATCAAAAATCAGATGGGCTGGACACGTAATGAGGTTTACAGACAACCGCTGGACTAGAGCCATTACTGATTGGATTCCACGGGACATCAAAAGATCACGTGGACGCCCACCTATAAGATGGTCAGACTTCTTCGTCAAGACCCTAAATGATCGGTTTGAGGCTCTGCATGTTCCTAGAACGAACAGATACCACTGGGCTACGCTAGCACGCAACCGGGATGAATGGAGACATTACTGGCATCTGCTCGAATAAATCGATGAATAACGGGGATTAAGTGATAAGTGATTCTTATAGTAGCGAAGAACATATGGTCACAGGTGAAGATTTATTGCATAGACAATTTCTGGACTTTTCCCATTCATCATTTAAAGATAATGCATCTGACTGCTCTATCTGACTAGCCATTTCATATTAAGGAAAAGATGCTTCATCCTGTGTCACACAGCCTGTCATTGACCTCTTCTCCAGGTTATGGAATGATGTTTCTAAAATCACCTATTTAACTTGGTGGCTTAAGAAAGTCCTCCAGCGTTGTTGCTTGTGCATCTGAATGCTTCTTTAAAATACGTAATTCCTCTCTGTCAGGTGTATACCATATTAACCATTGTAATTTGAAGTCTTGTTTCTATACCTATCATTCATTCAAACAAACAGGAAAAAACCCTAAAAACATTTCAGGACTTCTATAGGGTCTTCTACAGGAACCACCGGACCGACGGGATGGGGAGGAGCAACAAGCACAAAATATGTCAAGGGGTTGGGCAATGCATATAGTCCTGTGTCCCTGATTCCCACTCATCTCTTTTGTAATACGGACGTCCGTGTGCTTCCAGAACTCCCAGACTATGTGCTCCTTAAATTGTTCCACTTGTTTTATCTTATTTTTGTTTTGGGGTTACACATGATAGTGCCCAAGCCTTATTCCT